GTATATGGAAAAGTAAAATGTGAAGCTGTATATGAATTGTTGTTTGAGTTGATGTTTTTATTTTTATTTTTAATTAGTACTGTTTTGTAAATTATGCTTTCTTTGAATATATTCTGGGGATAAAAGGGGCAGACATAAGATTTATTCTTCTGCTACCTTTCATTTTATTTAGATTTTTGATTCGTGTATATTCTTTGTTTTCTATTGTAAATAGTTATTTTGTTTTTTAATGAAATGAATACATTTTTTGAATTGAATTGAACTGAAATTAGCTAAAAATGCTGAAAAGGATGTTGAAGACAGCTCCAATCATTTTCAACAAGAAAAAAAAAGCAAAATATCTCAAAAAGTCTAAATTGCTGAATTACCAACAGTCATAGCCAGAATTTCCTAAATGAGCTGAACGKTTTGATATACACTTTGTTGAAAAAGCACAAAAATTGTGCAACAATATGTTCCAAAAATCATATGGAAAAAAATATGTCAGACTTAAAGTTATAAATAAAAGGCTAGCTGAAAGTTAAATATATTAAAATGTGAGCTAAAGGCACAAAAGTAGCAACACACTAGCTAAAAGCAACAAAAGACAAGCTAAAAGCTTAATGTATCAAACAGAGAAAAGCTAAAAGTGGCAGAGCAGCAGCAACAAACTAAAAGACTAAAATACTGTAGAGTAAATTCATTGAAGCTACTTAAAATTTAGATCCGGTAATGGTTTGCTTCCTCAGAGTTTTATGATAAAATCATTGTTCTGCTCTGAACAGGAGTACGTCCACCACTGCAGAAAGAACTGTGGTAAGGACGTGCCATGGTCCGACAGGTTGGAGTTTCTGAGCGGTTGGTATATCCTGATCATCATCAGCGACWCACTGACCATCGTAGGCTCCATTCTGAAGATCGAAATCCAGACTAAGGTAACGAGCTTTTCTTCAGGGACTGCCTTATATTTCAGTCAGGTCATATTGTAAACTATATCTGGATCATTTGTYGTGTCATCAACGCTCTCTGTAGGTCCTGACAAGCTACGACGTGTGCAGCATCTTCCTCGGCACAGGCACCATGTTTGTTTGGATCGGCGTCATCCGCTATATGGGCTACTTCAGGAAGTATAATGTAAGGTCAAAGACCACCTACTGATCAGAAGGAATTAATTAGATCTGAATATGGCAAACAAGTTCAATACATTACATACCTTGCATCGATTCTCGCTTTTGTGTGATTAAAAAAACACTTCGGCATCAAGTGAAAAAGATCCAACAAACTTTAAAATGCTTCAAGAATCATCCTAGAAATTTGCACCAAGTTAGAAAAATAAGGTCTTTATGTTCTTCTAAGAAAAAAATGCAGTTATAATCCATTAATCCAAGCAGTGGCCATAAACTTTACAGATTTTACAGAAATTGTCTTTTTGCAGATTCTCATCGTGACGCTCAGGACAGCTTTTCCAAACGTTATCCGTTTCATCTGCTGCGCTGGAATCATTTACCTGAGTTACCTTTTATGTGGCTGGATTGTTATTGGTCCKTATCACGAGAAGGTAACATATTACAGCACAAAGAAAAGACAAAACTGGTCTTTAGGAACTAAAACTGGACGTGTTTTTGATTATTTGTGACCTTGTTGCAGTTCCGGAGCTTAAACACCGGCTCAGAGTGCCTGTTCTCGCTCATCAACGGAGATGACATGTTCCCCACTTTTAAGGACATGAAGCAGAAGAGCAGCCTGGTGTGGGTGTTCAGCAGAGTTTACATCTACACCTTYGTGTCCCTCTTCATTTACATGATCCTCAGCCTTTTCATCACCATCATCACTGACACTTACGACACAATCAAGGTGATACTGATAACCACAAATGTACTGTTACTTGTGGCGCGATACGAGGGCCAAAATTAAGACTRTTTCRCAATCAGCGGTTGCTACRTCCTTGTAGCAGGAGGCTATATCTATTCCTAAGCCAGCTACTGTATTGATCTGATTAATGATAGGTCGGCACCGGTTAGCAACTAGCATGGATAAGCTGGTGTTAGCATCGGAGAGGCTAGCAACTAGCATGGGTAAACTGGTGTTAGCATCAGAGAGGCTTACAACTAGCAAGGATAAGCTGGTGTTAGCATCAGAGAGGCTTCCAGCTAGCATGGATAAGCTGGCGTTAACATCGGAGAGGATAGCAACTAGCATGAATAAGCTGGTGTTAGCGTCAGAGGTTAGCAGCTAGCATGGATAAGCTGGTGTTAGCATCGGAGAGGCTAGCAACTAGCATGGGTAAGCTGGTGTTAGCATCGGAGAGGATAGCAACTAGCATGAATAAGCTGGTGTTAGCATCAGAGGCTAGCAACTAGCATGGATAAGCTGGTGTTAGCATTGGAGAGGATAGCAACTAGCATGAATAAGCTGGTGTTAGCATCGGAGAGGCTTACAGCTAGCATGGATAAGCTGGTGTTAGCATCGGAGAGGATAGCAACTAGCATGAATAAGCTGGTGTTAGCATGGGAGAGGCTTATAGCTAGCATGGATAAGCTGGTGTTAGCATCAGAGAGAATAGCAACTAGCATGAATAAGCTGGTGTTAGCATGGGAGAGGCTTATAGCTAGCATGGATAAGCTGGTGTTAGCATCAGAGAGGATTGCAACTAGCATGAATAAGCTGGCATTAGCGTTGACCAGCTTATCCATGCTAGTTATTAGCCTCCAATGCTAATGCCAGCTTATCCATGCTAGATGCTATCCTCTCCAATGCTAACGCAAATTCTCGTTTGCCAGCACCGGTCTTTCACTTACTGGTGCCATCATTAATCTTATTAATAGCTGGTTTTAGGAATAGATGTAGCCTCCTGCTACAAAGATGCACTTATGGCTGTGCAATAATCTTAATCTTCCCGTCATATCGCGCCATAGTTTCTAACTCTCAACCCTGTATTTTAGTGTAAAACATGTCTTGTTTGACATTACTTCAGTCGTAACGATTCGTCTGATTTCTCCTCTTAGCAACAGCAACAAAGCGGAGTCCCAACAACAGAGCTGCAAAGGTTCCTGTCGGTGTGTACAGATCTGCCAAAATCTGGAGCCTTCAGACTTGATAGGACCAACAGCTGCCTCCTCACCTGCTGCATCGACAGGTAAGCTCACAGTTTTTATCATCACAACTAATTAAAGCTTTAATTTAGTTTTCCTTTCCCAGATAACGGTACGTTTATCTGCACTTTAAATGCTACTTTCTTGCAGCAACACTTTGACTTATTTGTCACTGCAAAGTTAGAAAACTTTGAATGCATCTGCTCTTCACAGTGGTTCTAATGAAAATGTTTTTCCTGATTTCAGATGCAAGAGGCGCCACGAGAGGCTGACTTCAGATGCGTAGCTTTTTTTGTTTTTAATGACAGGAACAAAACTCAGCTGTAGTGTAAAAAAAAAAACGACAAATTGTATTATTTTGCACTTTATATTTTTTAAATTCAGTGAAAGGGAGCTGGACACTTTCCCAGTTTTTTGTAGCTCGGTCGGGTGAAGGAACGTTTCTCATCAGCGCTCAAAAGAATCAAGTCATTTGGACCTGAATGTAGAACTGAAGAGTTCTGGTGTGATGGTTCAGATTGGAGAGCACTTTGTAAGAAGCACTTTAACAATGTGGAGACAAAAAAAAAAAGATACTGTAACAAACTTTAAATCACATTGTCACCAATAAAAACTACAATGTTGCACATTTATGTGACTCATGAATAAATAAATATGCTGAAATGTAAATTAAATGAGTTTTTATTTCTCCACTGTCAGGAGAAGGCATCAGTATAAAARAGTCAAAATTATTATTCACCCCGCTCACTTTAATCTTCTGTAGAAGCTCGTTACAATGAYGAAAAAAAATCCCATTTTGGTTTATAGTAATAAAACGACTCGTAAAACCTTTAACACAGTAAAAGCGACAGTCTTTAAATCTCCGGAAGCAATATCCAGAAGCTGATACTGTAAACGAATCCAGCACTCAGCAGAATAGTTGACGATTTGGCCTCTTATTTCAGTGGAGCTCCGCAATTTGAGCCCTCATGATGAGTTAGAGCTGCACGGATCTGAGATCAGTTTAAACCTGCATTATYCCAGTTGGCTTTACTGTGAAAACTTATTGTCCAGGATCAAAGAACAGAAATAGTTTTTATTTTCCTAACAATGTTGGAATACAGGTTTAGTCTGACGTGACTTGATGCAAGCCTCCAGAAAGAGTTTGATGTAAAAAAAAAAAAAAGAAAAAAAAAAAGAAGTCCATTTGTGACCCAAAATGAAAGCGGAACTTCTGTCCTTTATTTTCTGGAATCCTGCTTCCTTTTTTGAAGTCCATTAAGTCCACTCCAACTCACAGGAACGTCCTCAGGACGATCCAAAAATAAAAAAATAAATGTAAAAAAAAAAAAAGGCAGGGATCGATTGTTTTATGGGTTACAAAAGCAATGAAAATGGTGGGAAACAAACCTTGCCTACTTCATTTAATACGTTGTGGCAAATCTTTCATGACGTCAGCCTGGTTTGGTTTGATTGACASCAGAGGGGGGCGGGACCCGCTGCTCTTCCATCCTGTTGGACTGAGAGCGCAAGATGAGACTAAAGAAATCCTCGTTTGGAACCGTCGGTCCTTTTGTTGTGGGACGAGGAGCGGCACACCTCTGGTCGTTCAGCCTGGAGCCCTGAAACACAGTKCAGGTAAGCACAGCTAACAAATCATAATGATGAAGGTTAAAATCCTTCATCCTAGTGACAATAAATCGTTTGTTAGAAACGATTAGGATTTATGGGCATTTTACATTAAGTTCTAGGATTCAGGGAGTTGAAAGGTTTTAGCARTAGGAGGCTATTTAGAAAGAATAGGGGGCTGACCATTTATAGCAGGCGTTCTTAACCTTTTTGACCTCGGGGCTCAATTTGTTGAACATAAAGTGACAGGAGGCCCAGTCAGACATTCAAAATGATGATTATTATAAATCTTGGCTTAATTTGTATTGTATTTGCATTATAACTAAAATAAATACACTTACAGTTTAAAAGTAAAACTACTTTCAAAAAATCACAAGACATGATTATGACAAACATTTTTTAAATTGTAACCTGCCCAATACGATTATTTGAATAAATACAACGGTCGGTCAACAGACCACTCAGGCATTTTATAAACACAAAAATAC